AAATACTTCTGCACTGGCTGCTGTTGGGCTGTTTTGTTTTTGTTTTTCTTATAAGCTCATAAATGATAAGTAGTCTCTCCAAATGACTATCTTAGCTAATGACGTAGAGCTATTTACCTACTCCTCACCAAGGTGCCGCCACCGCTGCTCCCGCTCCCAATTGGGCTGAAATTAGAAGCCAGGCAGATTTTGAGAGTGGGTGGGCGTGTTGCACTTGCCGGTGGGCGTGTCACAGTCATGCACATGCACCCACGAGCATGACATGCCCCTCCACAAGCATGACACGCCCCTCCGTGAGCATGACACGCCCACTCGTGAGCATGGGGGTGCCACTGCCCCCCAAACGGTCTGCACACGCAGCCCAGAGCCCCCAAACGGTTCACGGTCCCAAAAAGGTTGGGGACTGCTAATGTAGATTTCACTTGCATCTGTTAGCACTTGTGATTCAAACTGACATCTCTAGTTGTGGTCTTCCTTCTTTAGTTGACCATATGGACCTGAGGCTTCTTGCAATTAGATTTTGAGCTAATTTCTGTGCACAAGAAAAGAGCTTGGAAAAGTGGTGACGCAATCTGCTGTGAAGAACCAGAAAGTCAGCAGCCAGAGGTTTCTTACTAATATACAGTGGTGCCTCGATGTACGAACGTCCCGACATACTGTACGACCATTTTGAGTTACGACTAGCTCCAGCTCCAAAATTTTGCTTCTACTTGTGACCGGAGCTTCACGTTATGAACAGAAAAAGGCAGGGAATTGAAATTGCTAACCATTGGTGGCAAAGAGGCTGCTTCTTTGTAGCTCTTTCGCCCCAGCAGTTAGAGTGTGTGCGATCGGAGGAGGCTTCCGACTGTCTGGTAAGGTGCTGCTTTCTGCTTTTTAAAAACTGTTCTGGGTGGGTTTTACAGGGGTTTGGGGCTGGGCGGTTATGTTTCTGTGCTGTGATGGGTCTTGCAGTCTGTTTTTTGGGTTTTCTCGTTTCTGATGGGTCTTGCAGGGTTTGTTTGCTTTTTGGGTTCCCCCCATTTCCGATGTGTCTTGGGGGGTTTGTTTGCTTTTTGCTTTGCTTTTCCCCCCTTTCTGATGGGTCTTGCACGGTTTGTTTGCTTTTTGATTTTTTAATTTTATTTTATTTTTTGCATTTCCGAAGGGTCTTGCATGGTTTGTTTGCTTTGCTTTTTTTCTTCCTTCAGCCAGAACGGATTAATCACGTCTTCAATGGGTCTTGCAATTTGTTTAGGGGTTTTGGTGGGCTTCAGCCAGAACGGATTAATCACGTCTTCGATGGGTCTTGCAATTTGTTTGGGGGTTTTTGGTGGAGTGTTTTTTGGTGATTTTTTTTTTCTTTGGCCGGAAAGGATTAATTGCATTTCAATGCATTCCTATGGCAAATGGTGCTTTGACTTACAGCCATTTCGAGTTATGACCAAAGTTCCGGTACCAATTAAGTTAGTAAGTCGAGGCCCCACTGTAAAACTTTCAGAAATTCTGTTCTGTTATTTATTGAGCAGTTGTGTCATGCAGATGATTGGAGTGGCTTTGCCACATGCCTTTTATTACTTCAAGGAGTGCTTGGTGTTGGGTAGATAGCCCAGTTGCACTGACCTCCTTTCGAGCTTGTACTGTAAGATTCTGTTAGATGTCCTTGGATATGACAGTGTTCAGCTCTAAGCATTAAGGTCTTTCGGAGATAGAAATCTACACAGTGGCCTTGAGAAAATGAGGAGAGAATGCTATGAATGCCTTTCTCATTTCCCAACCTTCCTGTGTGTGAGTGAGTTAATGAGGAGGAAATGAGGAAAGATACTCGTTGAAGCAGTAGTTTCCGGAGGACATAGTAGTTACTCTGTCAGTTAAGTAGAAGCAGAAATGTTTTAAAGACTGCAGGCTGTGCCTGGGAAATAGCTCTAGTATGGACAATGCGTGGCCTACTGTATCAAACATCTGTCTATCTTTCTTGTGCAGTTTACAGCAATGTGTGAGTGCACAACCCCTCTGGCTGTATCAGGCACATTGTCCTGCAATGTAAAAGCTTTTCTTAGAAATTCCAGTTGCTTTGTACACAATAAAAATACCCCATTTGGCAAATAATCCAATTGAACTCCCCAAACTGTGCATGCTAAGTAATTACTTTGCATAGCGACATGGTATGAAAGTGCTTCACTTTTAGCTCTTCTTGCAAAGAGCTCAGACGCTGTTGTTTATCATGAGTCAGCAGCTACTATGATCTTTGCCACCTTCTGATTGTATAAGGAGCTTGTATAAGATGCCTCTCCTCTTTCTGTAACTGCAGATAACAGTTGTCAACTTCACTGGACGTAAAATAGCTGTGTTTGGGTGTGGCTGCTGCAGGTCTCAACAGCAGTCAAAGAGGTTGGTCTGGCACAGAGACTGTACCAGCATAATTGAGAAGGTTACCATTAGCTGCATATTTTGCAGAGGGTACCATATGGTGTCCAGATGTTGAGACCAAGGTCATGTTCATAACATGGCATAACTTGGCAGAACAAGCCAATATGATTTTCTGTAATATTGCACCCATAAATGATGGCACAAGTCAGTTAAACTTTATGCCAGTTTCTTTTCAATAAATGTTTGTAAGATTTATTACCATATTTTTCCATGTATAAAACAACACTTTATACTTAAATAATTGAACAAAAAAATTAGGGTCGTTTTATATAGGGAAGGCAGCTGTTTTCCCTGCCTTTTGCGAAGCCAGAGGGTAAAGCAGCTGTGAAAGGGTGGTAGGCTCGCACCCCTTTGATCCTGAAGCAGCCGTGAAAGGGCTTCAGGATCAAAGGGGTGCAAGCATGCAAATTTTCTAATTTGGGGGTTAGAAGAGGGGGGGATTGTCATTGGGTCATCTTATAAACGGAAACATGTGGTAAATAATATATGTAAAATGATTATTAAGTACAGTATCTTTTGCCCATTATACTACTGCAGTTATCGATAACTGACTCAGTGGTTTTTATGGTGAAGCCTACAGTGCTTGCAAATTCAGGCAACACAAGTATTCTAGTTAATTCTGGAAACAGTGCTGTAAACTTTTATAGCCTGTATGATGAAGCTTAACACTATTTGACTTCCTCTCCTTTTGGAGATTCAACACCATCATGGCTGTTCCGTCTTAAGTGATTCAGTTAAGTTCTGCAGTCATTTTTCCATTGTTTTTCCTTCAATGATCAATCTTTTTGTTTTTTTATAATATGGTCAAAGCATTCTGAGTTTCTGAATTTTATGTGTTTTCTGAATTATTGGGCTTCTTTCATTTGCTATTACTTCATTGGTTACCCTTCTGACCCAACAAATTCTTAGCATTCTGTGATAAACCCATATTTCAGATCTTTTTGAAGTTGCCTATGTTAAAGTCCATGCTTCCATCCCATACATAAAGGTCCAAGTATACATAACAATGTACAGCAGCAGGGTGGAATTGATTTAAATATTAATCTAAATCACTATTTAAATTTAAAAGATCAGATTTTTTGACAATTTAAAATGTTTAAAATGATGTTTTTATTTAAATTGTTGTTTAAATCAATTTAATTTTTACAAGTTATTGGTTTTCATCCACGCTGCTGTATGGTGTGCATTTGCAAAACAAGTTATAAATTTTTCTTGTACATTACATTCTACAGCTTAAGGAAGCTGCTGTAGTCCATCTCTGGACTTGTTTTCATTATATGGCCAGACCTTACTATTTATTCAGCCAAATTCTAAATCACCTGTATTTGCCAGTATGTCCCACGCTTTCATTTTAGAGCTTTAACTATTTCTTGGGATGGTTACTTTTCATTTTCAGAAGTAAAAAGCAAACAGCCCAATAAATGCAGTTATTTAACATCTACATGAAACAGTTTGGGAACGTCATCCAGAGATGCTGTGTCACCATTATGGAGGTGACACATAGCTGTGATGCTATTTTTTTTCTATCTCAGCAAGGCTATGGAACTCTTTAGTAGGTGCTTGTGATACATGAAGTTGAAACCTAATCCAGATGGAAGCACTGGGATGAGAAAGTCTACCATTCTGGATGGCACTTTTTCAGCTGGTATTTAACAGGGGTGCATGATCCTTTCCTTAAATGTCTTGGGCCCAGCTTATTTTAAAGAATTGCTCACATCTTTATGAACCAGACTGTGGGATAAGATTACCATTGGAGCACCTCTTTGCTAGCCCACCATTAAGCTCTGTAAGATTGGTCAGTATTAGAGTAAGACCTTTTCACTGGTAGCCCCTGCTATTTTGGAACTCCCTCCCGAAAAATATGATTGGCCCCATTTTTGATGTGTTTAAATGACCTTTAAAATTGGTTCATTTTCTTTAACTGAGGGTTGCAGTCTATATTGCTGTTGCTGCTAGTATTGTAAACTGCCTCAGGACAACTGTACAGTGGACCCTTGACTTACAGACGGCTTGACTTACAGACTTTTTGAGTTACAGACTTCTCTGGCCGCAAAATTTAGGTTTGACTTGCAGACTGAGATTTGACTTACAGACCAGAAAAAACCCAAAATGGAACAAAAACGACCTGTTACGGGATTAATCGGTTTTCAATGCACTGTAGGTCAATGGAGACTTGACTTACAGACTTTTTGACTTGAGAACCGCCTTCCAATACAGATTAAGTTCTCAAGTCAAGGCCCCACTGTACTCTTGAAAAGCCACTAAGAAATGCATCATTATCAATAAGGTGCAATAAATAATAGTGTTACCTTTCTAGCTCTTGTTTGCAAATCCTTCTGCAAATTGTTGCATAATAAGGGTACGGATTTTACAAACAGAACATTTCAATCACAGTAATCCATGTACAAACTGGGATTTGCACAAACATAACCAGCTTTTTAATGACTTGTCTTTGGGGTGGTAGGGAGAGGCTTGGGGGCCAAGCAGACAGTATTGAAATGCCTCTCAGAAAGCACTATTGTACACCATGTAACAATGGATGAGATGCCATTTCTGGTAGCTAGGCAAGATGCTAACTTTATGTTTTGCAGGTGAACTATGGCTGAGAATTCATCTATAAGTGTGGGGGGCATCACCCCTGTGCAGCAGATGCTGGCATCTGGAACCGGAGCCCTCTTCACCTCTCTTTTTGGTAGGTATCTTGTATTTGTTCTGCATTTTGTCCCACACCATGTGAAATATGTTTGCATACAAAAATATGTATTGGTTACTGACATGTTGTCCAAATGTCTGTGTGGCTTAAATGAACCTGAGGTTTCATCCTTTACCTTATGCTATCTAATGCTATGTTCTGGGAATGTCACATAATGAAAAACTTTCATAATGTCTTCTTAGTTACACCTTTGGATGTGGTGAAGATCCGACTGCAAGCCCAGAGGACCCCATTCTCTAAAGGTAAGTCATTCTTCTTTTGCAAACTGTGAGCTAATAGGGAGTTAGAAATGTTGTTTCCTGAGAACTGCTGCCTCAGATTCTGCAGTCATTCTAGCACAAGAAGTACAATGAGGGCTTGGGGTGAGCCTTGAAAACACTTAGTGCAGCCCTTAGTACCATTTCAGAATACAGATAGAGGGTTGTGTGCACGCATGCTCCCCCAGCCATTTGTGCTGATAAAGGACAGTGTTCTTATCTGTCCTCCGTGTGGCTCCAAGACTATGAAACCTAGAAACCTTCTATGTACAGTGGTGCCTCGCTTGACGATGATAATCCATTCCAGCAAAATCACTGTAGAACGAAATCGTCATCAAGCGAAAGTAAAAAACCCATTGAAATGCATTGAAACTCATCATACAGCAAAGATCCTCCATAGGACGACCATTTCCCGGTGCCTGTTAAGCGAGGAATCCATCCTAAACACAGCGTGGAGCCATTTTGCACAGTGGGGAGCCATTTTGAGAGCCGCCAATCAGTTGTTTTAAGATTGTCATTTAGAGAAGAATTGGTTCCCGAAGCAGGGAACCGATAATCATAAAGCAAATTTTCCCCATTTAAACATCGTTTTGAACCTCATTGTAAAGCGGATTTGTCGTGGAGCGGGGTAATCGTCAAGTGGGGCACCACTGTATATTAGGGATAACCAAAAGTTATGTGCTTTGCAGATATCTGGGATTTTTTGAAGGAATGATTAATTTCAGTAAATTTAAACCTGTCAGTAGCTTGAAACTGTCTTCAGTTACTGAATGGCAAGGTTTTCTAACCAAGCAAGAGGAACTTGCAATCAACACCTGTATATTTATTCTTCCAGAAGACCTCTAGGCAGCTCCACATGGACCAGAGGCACAGTGGAAAATGGCTGCTTTCTTCTGTGCGCCCCCCCAAACTCTTTAAAAAGAGAAGGATCACAGGATGGGGTGGGAACTAAAGATCAGAGAGTCTGTGAACAAAGAGAAAGAGCACCAGGAGAGAGACAACAGTCTCTCAGTTCTGATACTAGAGGGTGTGTGTGTACTGGGGTAGACATGGGGAAGGAAAGAGCACTTAGGAAATTTGGGAGGAAAAGAACAGTGTGGTGGATCTTGCAGAGCTGTGTGTTTCTGTTAATAAAATCATAGGAGCTTTATTCCTGCAGACTGATCCAATGTCTAATCCAATGTTCTAATCCTACAATGGTGAACTGTTGGAGTCATGAACTTAGCAGGCTTATGGGCTTTGTGGTGATCACCAGATAATTAGGATAGCAAAGAGTGTCTTAGAAATAGAGGTTAAAGAAGTCAGCTACACACACACACAGGGATGTCTCTGCCAGCAGTGCTCCTGGTGGGCGACTAGTAGAAGAGGCAGAATAACACTGAATGGGTTCCCAATGAATTCTGCCCTGCCCCCAGGAGGACTTTGCTTTTATTAACCTTACAAGCTCACAGATAGTGACAGTATATAGATAGGTTACAGAGTTCAGATAGGGAAAGGCAATAAAGCAAGCTCTCTATCACCTATGAGAAAGGGGAAGAATGGTGGTAACTCCCGCTCTCAGAAGCAGTTTATGACATCATCCAGGAGAGTTTTCTCTACACTGAAGAATCAGCCAACAGCTTAGCAACTTTGGGGAGAAGCGTTCCCCCCACAGTGAACCACTAGGAAACTCACCGTCAGGATGTGAGGGCACATGAAACTGGAGCTGAGAGGCATATTGTCTCTGATCTTAGATTTAGCACGTTGTTCTCATGATTGGAAGCCACTGATAACCTTGTCCTCTATGAATATGTCTAATCTTTTAAAGCTGGACATGTTGGTGACAATCATTACATCGTGTGGTGGAGAATGGCATAGGCTGACTGTAGTGTGTAGAGGTCATTCCTTTTCTCCTTTCTTGAGTTTCCCAAACCAAATGTATACTCCCTGCACTTTAAAAAGAATAGCTATCTTCCCTGTTCATTTTCCACAACCCTGGAGTTTTTGATGTTGTGGACGGTTTTGACGTGCATATCACAGCTTAGCTTCTCAAATGGTATTGCTGAGGGGCAGTGCTGTACTGGCTGTTTTTCTTGAATTTAAAAATTAACCCTGAAATTATCACTACAGTAGTAGGACGTAACTGTAGAACAGATCATAGCTTTCTTTGTAATGTCATGATGAATGGATCTGTAATTACGGTGCCTAGAGTCTTCCCTGCACAGTTCATAGCATGCTTATACCTTTTGCAAATAGGACTGAACAACATTATTTAGCCCTCTTTACATATATTAAGCCATCTACCTATTTCAGTTCTCAATGTCTCACTTCACAGCAGTACCACTTATATTGTTTGGGAGTCGTGCTCAGGTTTACTGTTTCCGAGATTTCATCAAGCACTGGCTGCATGCTGTCAAGCTCATCACTCCAAGCCATAAAGACTTTAAAATAAAATCTGAGAATAAATTAAATCAGTTATATACATGTGAAAAGCCAACTGTCTGTTACTTTTCTGCAACCAAGCTCTTCAGTCTTCACCCAGTGTCTACCCTTGCCTCAACTGAAGGTTCTCCTTCCCCTATAGCTGTTTTCTATCCTTCACTCCATCACTAAATATATCCATGTTATGTTTTTCAGTGTTGTCAGTACAATGTATACCCTGGAGCATTCACCAGTCGAAATGTGAGTATTTCAGGTGCTTTCCCATCTAAGCTGCTACTGACAGCTCTGGATGCAGTCTGATCTCTGTATTGCTCACATTCGCAATGGAGAGTGTGGTGGGTCCTTTATCCTTCCCTCTCCCTCCCCTCTGCTCTAAGGGAAAAGGTTCATATTCTTTCTCCATTGCAAGAATTAGTGTTTGCCTGCCCTTCAAGACCTGCTGCATAGCATGTTAGCTAAGACTATGCTACAAACTGGAAGTTTCTGGTTTTATTTGTGCTTGTCTTCTATCAGCCATCATATCCTATCTCCATTATTAGAATGGGGAGTTATTCTTCAGCCGCATGGACTGCACAACACTATCCAGAATGTCCTGCACTGAAGCTCAACCAGGGCCTGCAACTATGTACCTTTTATACTTTTAGATCAGTTAATACCTGCCTCTTGACTAGTATCACAGCCCATTCCTTCTTAATTGGCAAAATTAAGCCGCTCAGAGTGGTCGAATAGACCAGATGGGCGGCATATAAATCAAATAAAGAAATGTTTGAAAAATTACTTACTAATTGATACATCGATAAGATCCCTCACTAATTAGCAAAATGATAATGTGTTTTCAAGAGATTTCTCTAATCAGCAGATTGATAACACATTGCCTTCCCAGACATAATTGTCTGATGTCACTAACCATGGCCAGCACATCTGTATAAACCAATTCCTTTCCCAGGTACTAATCATATTCCTTCATGATAAACGTCTGCCTTCCCAGTTGGTTATTTGGTTAGGACATGCTCTTCACCAACAGTTATTTGTCAGGTCAGATAAAGGGTTTATCAGGTCAAGTAAAGGACACGTGAAATGAAACTATAAAATAGAACTTTGAAATAGAGATAAGTTTTACTCAGGCTAAAAAGACTCCCCAAAAGGCATATACAGTGGTGCCCCGCATAGCGACGTTAATCCGTTCCAGGATTAACGTCGCTATCCGGAAACATCGCTAAACGGAAAGAAAAACCCCATAGGAACACATTAAACTCCGTTTAATGCATGCCTATGGGGGGGGGAACTCACCGGAAAGTAAACTCCGTTTAATGCATGCCTATGGGGGGCAACTCACCGGAAAGTGAAGATTCCCCATCTGGCCGTCATTTTCGCCGCCTCGGTAAGCAAGGGCAGGGCGCGAAAACGCTGCGGGCGGCCATTTTCTTGATCTGGCAGCCATTTTGGAACCGCCGATCAGCTGTTTCCCTAACATTGCAATGCGAAGATCGGTAAGCAAAACACTTACCAATCATCGCAATGCGATGTTTACCCTATTAAAACATCGCAATGCGATCGTAAAAACGATCGCAAAATCCGCATCGCTATGTGCGCTCGTTAAGCGAGGCACCACTGTACAAGGATGGAAACCTAGTGTATGTCTGTATGCAGATGCAAGTAAGCTTGGGAATAGAGAAAAATTAGGACACATATTTACATCTCATCAAAATGCAATAATATTCAGCAATATAATACTACAGAGAGATAATGAAACAAATCAAAC